CCTCCTCCACCTTCCGCCGCTATAACTGTTTCGACCCTTGTTACCGGTCCCATGGTTGCAGCATCCCACTTCTCTTGGGCCTCCCTAAGGCTTTTCTGTTGTTTCGCCTCACGTGCGCCTTTGTGATCTACATCGTGGAACTGACCATCTTCTTCCGAAATGTGACCATCGTATGGTTTTCCATATGCGACTCTCCCAAGCCCGTGTGTTAGACCATCCCCGACAGCTACAGCCGCCACTGCTGCTGCTCCAATTGCAGAGGCTAGTCCTTGAGCGTTGTCCAGTATGGGCGCGGTGACCTCTTCTTCACACGTTGATGGTGGTAAGTCGATCGTTGGTGTAGCCATCTTTCTCAACCTAGAGTCGCGCTTTGAGGTTGGGGATTTCTGGGGTGCAGCCGCTGACAGCCGATTGAAAGCTCTTGGATCGGTTATCTGTCGCCTTTGCTTGTTAATGCTTCAAAAACACAATAAAAACCTGCTGCAACCTGAATATCTCAGCCATAGGGACACAGTAATCCGTTAGATGGTTTCATGCATCAAATTGCAAAGGTTCAAGAACAGAGCGAAGTCAACAAAAGCATCTGTTGTTATTCAGCTTGCATTGCTTCTTCTATAAACCTGAATTAAAACGAAGGGATGGCCCCTACCGATCGAGACCTCTTAAGCAGGCGGCTGGCCGGACCGGGGCTCTGCTAGGACCATCTCACCTGTCGTTCCGGAAGATACTCTGTGATATCCCCATGGAGGAGTAGAGGGTCCTCGATTGAGGGACCCTGCACGGCGGCGCAACGGCCGACGTGAATGGATCTCACAAGCACGTTTCGGCCCTGTCATCCGTTGAACCACCCACTTCAAGCTCAACGCTCCGTCCCGAAACCCCGGCCATACCCCACACTTTTCCTTTTGGAGCAGCTGATGGATGCACGGCTCCACGGGCCATAACCCGTCTAAATGGATACCAGTGCACCCGCCGAGAAAAGTCAGGTAACAATGTGAGTTGTCGGAATGGTTATCAGCTGGCCACCCGAGGCCCAGCAAGATACAATATGCATAATAATAACGCGCAATGCTATATCGATCTTCTGGCATCTTGCCACAGCTTACTATCACCTTATCTCAGCCGCCGAGAACACATCCAAGATCGAATGTCCTGCATAGCGCCTCGGAAACGCCGATTGGTGCTGGAACATCGGCGCATTTCGAACTTTCGTTTCATCATGGAAATATCATCTAGTCTTCCGGGCATTATGAGACACATTAAACTGAGCGATCCGGGTGGTTTAGTGGTGGAAAGTTGCCGGCCCGCTGTGCCTGTTTTACTGAGCCGTCGCGGCAAAATATGAAGTGGTCAAGAAGCTGGGCCAAGGACCTCGTCGGGGAAATACGACCCGGCACCGGCCCAAGCAACTGGAAGAACAACGGCAAATCGGGCCACAAGCCCCCGAGAGTCGTATTTGATAAACGAACTTCAAATTTTCCTAACTACCCAAGGTATGTCATACTCGCTACGATAATGCAATCATACGCTAATCATTTAATCATACAGATATCCAAAAACAGTGGTTTTCCCCCATTTACCCCCACGGGCTGATATTTGAAACATTGCCCGAATGATGCTTACAGTCGGGAGTGCTTGGGCTTCCAGCCCTCCTCTTGAGCAATGAGCTCGGCAGCTCGCTCACCAACAGCGAGCACAGTCACCATGGGGTTGATTGTTGGCATCTCGGGGAAGATACCAGCGTCAACAATGCGGAGCTTGCTGATTCCACGAACCTTGAGCTCGGGGTCGACAACAGCCATCTCATCACGCTCAACGTCACCCATCTTAGTAGTGCCGGCAGGATGGTAGACAGTGTGAGCAACCCGGCGAGCATATTCGCTGATCTCCTCATCCGTTTGGATCTTGGGACCAGGGGCAACTTCTCCCTTGAGCCAGTCCTTGAAGGGGCTCTGCTGCGCAATCTTTCGGGCAGCCTTGATGCCGTGAACCAGGGTGGCGGCATCGTAACCCTCGGGGTCGGTGAAGTAACGGAAATCGAGAGCAGGCTTGACAGTAGGGTCGGCTGAAGTCAAGTAGATGCGGCCACGAGAGCGAGGACGAGGAATGTTTGGGGTCATGCAGAAGGCATAACCATCCTTGATGATAGGATACCCTAGACGCTCGGTGTTAAGGTGGAAGGGAATCTGGTAGCAATGCATCATAACATCAGCTGCGTCGCCATCGTTACCAGCGGCGTTCTTGGGCTCGCGTCGCAGGAAAATACCAGCGTCGGAATCCATGGTGGTCTGGTTAGCAGGAACGGGTTTGTTGAGCTCCCACATGATGATGGTCTCGGGATGGTCTAGGAGGTTCTCGCCGACGCCTGGAATGTCCTTGACAACAGGAATCTTGAGATCCTCAAGCTGGGCCTTGGGACCAATACCAGAGTGAAGGAGAAGTCTGGGGGTATCGACAGCACCAGCAGACAATATGATCTCCTTGCGGGCGTTAAGAGTATGCTTCTCGCCGGACTTGAGAGTGACATCAATGCCAGTGGCAACGTCGTTCTCGACAATGACCTTTGAGACATGAGCCTCAGTGAGGACAGTCAAGTTGGGTCGTCGCTCATCGCCACGAAGGATAGGGTGGATGTAGGCGACCGAAGCACTGCTGCGGTGGCCGGTATCGGGGTTATATGAGACAGAGAAGAATCCAGCGCCCTGGGTCAACTGTCCCTTCTCGGAAATCTCGTGGTTGAAGTCGTGGATAATGGGAATACCCATGGCCTCAGAGCAGGCCTTGACCCAGTCCTTGGTGAGCTGGTTACGGTGACGGGGGTGAACGGGGTTCAGCTGGTTGCGCAAGTTGTCAACATTGCGCATAACGGTTTCGAAGTCCCAGCCCTTGCAGCCCTTGGCGACCCAGCGATCCATATCGTGGCGGAAGGGACGGAAGGAGATGAGAGTGTTGTGAGAGGAGCATCCACCCAGAACCTTTGCACGTGAATGTCGAATGTGGCTGTTGCCATTGGGCTGCTCAGTTGTGGGATAATCGTAGTCAAGATCACCACCAAGGAGAGACAGCCACTCCCGAAGATTCAGGACATTATTGAGGCCGAAGTCTGAAGGGCCAGCCTCAATCATGAGAACCTTGCGCTCAGGAAGGTAGGAGGACAGTCGGGAAGCCAAAACACATCCAGCCGTGCCACCACCTACGATGATATAGTCGTAGGCGGAGCTGGCAGAAGCAGGAAGATACTCAGTAGTCATGTTGAAGATAAAGTTGAACGGGAGGGAAGTTGAACAAGAGAGGGATAGGTGAGGATTCTTGCACGATATCGCAGTCGGATGGGCTCCAGGGGTATCAATGAATGGTTTTGAGGGAGAAGTGAGGAGGAATGAAGCGACTCGAGGTCCAGGAGATTGAGAGCTCTTGTACTCGAGCATCGAGACGATCAAGATCTTCCTGAAATGGACGGACATCAGCTCAAAGTGGGGTCCTGGATCATGGAAGGGTCCTTGGAAGCATCGTACAGTGCGGGTGAGTTCTTGCTACTGGTGTCCAGCCTTGACTCGATGTAGTGTTCTGACTGCTCCAAGTACCCTCTAGTGACCAGTAAAGGATTCTGATTGGCCAGAGCTACCAACATCGAGCAAGGCTGGTGGGTGGATCAAAACTCCCAAGACGGGCGGCGGCGGCGGCGAGAGCTAACCAGGGAGAGAACTGGTTGAAGCATCAAGCAAGCCACGAACCTAGCAAGAGCGGGGCCTTGGCGGGGGTTTGAACGGCAAAAAGCTCTTCACCGACTCCGGGAATATTTTTCGGCGTTACCGAAGTTTTAGATATCTTAAGCCAGTGTCCCGAACTTACATGACGTTAACGGTTTCGTTATCAGCGACTTGGCTGATATCTTTGTAGATAATGGAAGTGGCAGGCAGAGTAGCTGAGATCTCAGAGTTAGACCAGGGGACTCACCATGTGAAAAGGCGCGAATTCTAGGCGGCAAGAACATGTGGGCAATCAATTCGCTAGGAGGCCTGTCTACGGTGTCCCTGCTTCATTCATTATCATGCTACTAACACATGCAAAGACGTGTGCCATTTCTTTGTTCCCCCTGGCCGCTGCAACCGCGCAGAGAACGATGGTTGACGCGGCGACTGTTTGATAACTGTTCGGTGTTGAACGGTGGTTGTGGGGCCGTCTGACGGCGAAAAGATGGAGTTCAAGGAACTCCGCTGGCCGGATCCGGGTCCACGAAGCCTCCGACGGAAACATAATACTCAAAATTGATTGCTGGTTGGGCATGATGGCAAGTTCTTTTGATACGTTCTATGTCAAGTAAAATAACTATTCAAAAAATCCACTCCATTTTTGGAATCTATGATCCGTCTACGGACGGTCAGACGAAAACTGGTGACATCGCGAGCTTGCTGGACCGGTAAACCAGCCATGTCGCTGTTTGATTACGAGGCTTAAAACACGGTAACACGGCGCAGGGTCGCCGCTCTCCGCAGAGGATATGTCGAGTGTTGAGTTGGAGTGTATGATTGTAGGATTCCTGATGTACAGGAAATACCTGTTCGGGTTTCGCGTGCTGTGCTATCACATTCGCTTCATCCGGACCGCATTGGACAATCTGCAGGGACAGTGTCTTGCACCACTGGAACCCCATATTGCCATGTGCCGTGGAGGATGCCAAGTTTGAAATGTTGCTTAGCATACTGATCAGGTAAAGCGTAGTTGGGGTACCTGGCCGTCAGATCGATTATCTCCAAGATCGATTTTTTGAGGTGTGGTAATTGGACAGTGCGCCCCAGCTGAGTTGGATAATCCCTTCATTTTTTGCTTTTCTTGTTTTCAAGTTTTTTAATGGTCACTTTTCTACCACTAGAACCCGCTCGAATTATTGGCAGAATAATCGTGTAACTGGACTGATAGATAAATCGCTTGCATTACCTAGAGCATAGTTCTGCCCATCGTTGCGAAATAACAATCAAGCGTCCCGCTTTCTTCACAGTTCAACGGTCAAGAACCTCGGACTGGATGCAAAGCTCTGGGGGTGGCAGGTGGACAGCTCGAAGCTCAGCAATGACGTTGGCATGTCCACTCTTGTGTTTCCCCTCGACCAGCCACTCAGGCTTAGCGTTCTTCGGCATTGTTGAGACTGGGATTCTGTAGCTGGGCTGAGGACTGGGCGATGCAAGGCTGCCTACAAAGAAAACTGGACTTTTTTGCAGGGACTTGCACCAGAAATTGTCTGCTGCATTTTTTTCGGAACGAGGGCGGGGCTGGTGGGTCCAGTTTTCCAAGCCTTCCGGGCTGTTATTCATCAGCCCGCAAAAGCACAGTACAGTCCAGATTCATGCATCCATTGGTTGGACAAGCTATCAATTGCAAAACGAAACCATTTTTTCCCTTCTTCCTCAGGTTCATTATCTTTCGCTAAGTGAAAAGTGGTCTGATAATTTGCGGCTTTATTCTAACAATGCAGAGCCGCTACTCTCCGCATCGATGCAACGCTGAGGCGTTCAAGACACACTCTCACAATGGTCACTGACAACTCCCTGTTTTCACAACTGACTATCCGTATCTCTTCAGATCTGCTCGAGTCATGATGGGTGTAATCCTTCCCCAGGTCTGCTGATCTCACCACGTCACAGACAAGGGCTTCACAGCCGAAAGTCGCTATCAGTTCCGTTTGAGACTTGTCTCTGAATGACCATAGCTTGGTAAATTGAGTTCTTGCTCGTATTGCTTGCCATTGAAAGTTGGCTGCATGGTTGATACTTTGGTGGACTCTCACTGGTTGGCCAATTCTACTGTGATGACACAGTATGGCTTGGCCCCACGTCATTGTATCTTGCTAGAAGAGGAAGGTACCCGGCATCAGTCAATTGTGGGGCAATTGCCATCCCGTCTTGACTGTGCTTCATATTGATCCTCACAAGCTTTATTATGGTATCCTACCTTACTTACAGTCAACTCCCCACATGTAAGCAACAGAGCATCTTCTCAAACAATTTAGAATACCTACCTATCTATCTGCCTACCGCGTTGTACTCTGCTTTGTTTCAATCTCTCTCTACATACCCTGTTGCATGCTCCTTCTCTCATACCAACTAAAATACAATGACTTTCTCATCTGAGATTCACACTTTCCACTCAGGTCGGCCACAGCCCGAGTCCTCCTCAAAAACCAGCACCTTTGTATCCGTCGATCCAAGCAATGCAAAGCCGCTTGCTACTATCTACACTACCACGCCAGAACAGCTCAATGAGACCATTGCAGCGGCCCAGGCCGCTTTTCCAACATGGTCACAAACACCAGCACCTCGCCGAGCTGCCATTCTTCTGAAGGCAGCCGCTATACTTCGCGAGCGCAACGACGAAATTGCGCTGACCGAGACACTTGATACTGGCAAGCCTTGGTCGGAAACCTCAACCGTTGACGTTGCAACTGGAGCCGACGTTCTCGAGTATTACGCACATATCGCTGCTGGCAGCTTCCCTGGTCAAAATACTCGTCTTCGTGCTGACGCTTTCGTTCTCACTACCCATGAGCCTTTGGGTGTTTGTGCCGGTATTGGTGCATGGAACTATCCTATCCAGATTGCTCTCTGGAAGTCAGCTCCATGCTTGGCTGCTGGCAACTGTATGGTGTACAAGCCTAGTGAAGTCACTCCTCTGCATGCCCAGACCCTCGCTCAGATCTACATTGAGGCCGGTGTCCCCCCTGGTGTCTTCAATGTTGTCTACGGTGACGGTATCGCTGTTGGAGCCCCTCTTGTCGCCCATAGCAGTATCGCCAAAGTCAGCTTCACTGGTCAAGTCAGCACAGGCAGCAAAGTTGCCAGCCAAGCTGTCAAGGATATGAAGGGTGTCACCATGGAACTGGGTGGCAAGAGCCCACTTGTTATTCTCCCTGATGCCGATGTCGAGGAAGCAGCCGACACTGCCATGGTAGCCAACTTCTTTTCCACTGGACAGGTGTGTACCAACGGTACACGTGTCTTTGTCCCCGACACTCTCTTGAGCCAGGTTGAGCAAGCTATTGTGCAGCGTTGTCGAGAGGGAATTCGCATGGGTCTGCCTCAGAACGGCGAGACCAACTTTGGACCCATGGTCAGCGCCGCACAGCAAGAGAAAGTCAAGATGTACATCCAACACGGACGTACAGTGGATAAGGCGAAGGTTCTTTTCGATGGCTCCGAGGAGCCCAACATGGCACAGCCAACCCCTGATGGTTTCTGGGTTCACCCTGTTGTCTTCACAAACTGCACAGACAATATGCGCGTTGTCAGGGAAGAGATCTTCGGTCCAGTCATGTGCATCATGCCATATAAGACCCAAGAACGTCCTCATCAACAATGGGTATCTGAGCTCATTGCCCGAGCGAACGATACCCCCATGGGACTTGCTGCTGGTGTTGTGTCATCCGATGTGGGACTGGCACATGAGGTTGTGCAGAAGCTCGATGCTGGAATTACTTGGATCAACACATGGGGCGAGTCACCTGCTGAAATGCCTGTAGGCGGCTGGAAGATGAGCGGAATAGGATTGGAAAACGGCCATGAGGGCATAGCTGCATATATGAGGACGAAGAGCACATTAGTACAGCTTGGTAAGGGTGCTTGTAAGGGTGTATTTTCTAAGTTATAGGGTAATAACCTCAGTTTAAACTACTGCTTTTGTACTAATTTTACTTTATTTATTCTTATATATAAGGTTAATTAGTTATATGCCCTATTATATATATTTTAATTAATTAAGCTAATTATAACTTTAAGTAAATTTAACTTTTTATATATAATTAATTTTAAACTTATAAAAGTAATTAAAAAGGCTATTTTAGCTAATTAAAAAATATAACTTATTTTTAAAACTTTTTTAAAGTTTTTAAAATTAAATAACTTATTATTAACTTAATTTAAATTAAATAAATTAATATAATATTTCTTTTTTATATAATTAATTAATTAAATTAAGTTATTTTTTCTATTTATTTTTAAACTTATATAAGGCTATTAAGCTTTTTAGTTTTTTTATTAATAATTTAAATAATAAAACCCTTATAATAGGCTATTATTATAAAAGTTAAAATTAAATAAGGTTTATTTACCTTAATAATATAATTATTACTTTAATTAAGTAATACTAATACTAGCTATAGTTTTATATCTTAATAATTAAATTAACCTTTTTCTTTAACTTATTTAAAGGAATATTATATTTAATATATTTATTATATTTTTACGTAAAGGATAGTTAAAGCCTAATTAAGTAAGAGATTAAGTTATAAACTTATAAGTATATTTTTTAACTTAACTTTCCTTTTTAACCCTTCTTATTAATAATATAATAGCTATATTATTAAATTACTAAATCCTAATTAATAAGGTATTTTAATTAAAGGAGCTACTTTTCTTAAAATAAAGGAGTTATATAATATTTTCCCTAGTTTAAATTATTACTTTATTATTAATTTTACTTTATTTATTTTTATATATAAAGTTAATTAGTTATATACCTTATTATATATATTTAATTAATTAAGGTTAATTTAACTTTTATTAACTAACTTATATAAAGTAAACTTAATATAATTCCTTTAATTCTAACTTTAATAGAATTTCTAAACCTTGCCTTTATTTTATATTTATCCTAAAACTCTTTACTAATTTAAGAGCAGCTCTCTGGCAATATTAGCTGCCCTTATAGATATATTAAGAAGCCACTCTTTATATATAGCTAAGTTTAGGCTTATAAAGGCAGTAAGGAAAACTGCTTTATTTAATTAAAAAGATAACCTTTCTTTAAGGCTATTTCTAGGTCTTTAAGACCTAATAGCTTATTATTAATTTAATTTAAATTAATTAAATTAATATAATACTTCTTTTTTATATAATTAATTTATTAAATTAAGCTATAATTAAAAATAGCTATTTTAATAAGGTTAGATTTGCCTTTTAATAAGAAGTTCTTTATAATAATAATAATTATTATATATATTATATAAAGTTTTTCTTTATTAATTACCTTTAGGGTAGGCCTAATAGCTAGATTAAGATTATAATTAGTTATATAATAAATATAATTATATAATTATAAGCTATTTTATATAATAAGTATTAAGGCAATATAGCTATTATATTATTAATAAAAAGGGTTAAAAAGAAAAGTTAGGTTAATTAATATACTTTATAATAAATAAATTAAGTATAATATATTATAAAGGTTAATTAAGGTTTTTTTTAAATAAGTTAAAGAAAGAAGGTTAATCTAGCTATTAAGATATAATTAGTATTAGTATTACTTAGTTAAGGTAGTAATTATATTATTAAGGCAGATAAACCTTATTTAATTTTAACTTTTATAATAATAGCCTGTTATAGGGGTCTTATTATTTAAACTATTAATAAAAAAGCTAAAAAGCTTAATAGCCTTATATAAAGCTAAAGGTAAAGGAAAAAATATATATATATATATATATTAAATATTATAAACCCTTATTATAAAGAATTAAAGTTTAGTATTAAAGATAATATAAAGATATTTCTTATTTATTTAAAATATTAAGAATTATTATAATTATTATATAAATACTATTAATATAAAGTATATAAATAAAATAAAAAAAGTAATAATTACTTTTTAATTATAATCCTTAATATATTTAATAATAAACCTTATTAAGGATAGAAATAAAAAGATACTTAATATACTATTAATATAAAAGCCTTATAGTAATAGAACTATAGTTTAATCTGCCTTATTATTAATAAATCTATAAAATAAAAAAGCTTTATAAAGAGATTTAATAATCTTAAAAAATAATTAAAAAAGCAAAAAGAGAATATAAATAAATAAACTTAATAATTAATAAGGGAATATAAATATATATTAACTTATTTAATTTTAATTATATTAAAGATAAAAAAAAGGTTAATAAAGAACTATTTAAATTTAAAATATATAAACTAACAGACTTTAATATATATATAAACTTAAGATATTCTTATAATTATAAAGGATATAAGGAATAAAAAAATAAAAAATAAAAATAATAGTTTAATAATTAAGAATAAGCTTATAATACTTATTATTAATAAAAGATTAAAGAAAAATAAATAAATTAATATAATAATAAAAAATATATTAAAGATTATTATAAAAGAGTTATTTATAATAATAAAAAATATAAACTACTTTATTATATAAGCTTAGGAAAAGTTATATATTACCTATAATAAAGCTATAAGTATATAAAAAGTAAGGTTAAGGATAACTTAAATTATAAAATACTTTAAGAGTTATATAGATAATAGACTTAATAATAAACTACCTAATATTATAAGTTTAAATTAAGGCAAAATAACTAAATATATAAATTAATAATAAAATAAAATAAAACTTTATTAAGCTAGAAGTTATTAGAAAGTTATAATTATTATAAAAATAAAAAGTAAATCCTTACTTACTAATTAATATAAAAAGAAAACCTTTTAATTATAATAATAATATAATAAATTAAGATATTAATTACCTTAAGGTTTTTATTAAAATATAATTAAAAAATTAAATTTAATATTATCCTTTAAAAATAAAAAATAAATATCTTAGGTATTTTTAATAAATAAGGTTTATAAAAGAAAGAAATAATATAAACTAGCTAAAATAGATTTAAAAATATATTAAAAGAATACTAGATATATAATAAGCTATTTTTAAAAAAGAATTAAAAATAAAGATATTTAAATATTATTAATAAGATTAGTTATATTTTTTATATTAAAGAAAAATAAAAAACTATAACTTATTATTAATTATAAAAAGATTAATATATAAACTATTAAGGATTAAACCTTATTTTTATTAATTATAAAATTAAAAGATTAATTATAAGGGAAAAAGATCTTTATTATTTTAAACCTTAAAGGTATATATAACCTTATTTATATTAAAGAAAATAATAAATAAAAAATAATATTTAAGATTAAATTTAAAGTATTTAAATACTTAATACTACCTTTTAATTTTATTAATATATTAATAATATTTTAATAAATAATCAATAATATATTAAAATAATACCTTAATATATTTAATATATATTACCTTAATAATAATTTAATCTTTTTAAATATTAAAAAAGAATATAAAAATATATTTATATAGTTTTATAAGCTATATAAGATATTAAGTTATTAATTAAATTAAAAAAGAGCTATTTTTATATATAAAAGATAGACTTTTTAAGATATATTATTACCTTTAAAGAAATTAAAATAAAATAAAAGAAGATTATAATAATAATAAAATAAAAAGAACTTAATAATATTAAAAAAACTTAAGTATTTTTAGGATTTATTAATTATTATTAATAATTTATTAAAGACTTTAGTAAAGTTATAAATCTATTAATAAAATTAATTAAAAAAGATTAACTATTTATCTAAATAATAAAGCTTAATAAGCCTTTAAATAACTTAAGTAAGCTATTTTTAATAAACCTATTTTAATTATATTTAACTTAAAAAAGAAATTAAGTTAAAAATAGATTTATTAAACTTTATATTAAGAAAATAAATTAATTAATAAGATAAATAAGGAAAATTATACTATATTATATTTTACTTATATAAATTATATAATATAAAACTTAACTACTTAATTTATAATAAAAAGTTCTTAATACTAATAAATTACTTTAAAGAATATAAATATTACCTTATAGGAAATAAGTATTAAATAAAAGTATATATAAATTAATAAAATATCTTTTATTTTACTATAATATATAAACTTAGTTAATAATAAATATATTATATAAATTACCTATATAAATTTGATTTTATAATTATTTATAAAAAGGATCTAATACTAAAAAAGTAAATATAATTAGTAGAAGATTAAATTATAATATTAGTATTATAGAAGTAAATAAATAAGTACTAAAAAGAAATAATAAAGGGGAATATAGATTTACTTAGTAAATATAGACCTTAAGTTAAATATAAATAATAAAAGTAAAGGAGATTATAGAAAATAAAATATATAACTTCTTAAATCAATTTTACTTACATCCTTTATATAAATATTAAGAAGTTATTAAAACCCTTAAGAAATTATTATAATAAGGATATAAGATTTAAAAAAGGGAAATAGAAAAAATAATTAAATAATATAACCTATATAAAAATAAAAATATAATAATATAAACCTTATAGAGAATTATAATTAATAAAAGTTATAAAATAATTATAAAGTTTAATTATAATAAATTTTATAACTAAATTATTATTAATAAAAGAACCTTTAAATAAATCTTTTATAATAGTATTATAGTTATTATAAATAAATTAATAAAATTTTTAATTTACTTACCTTATAAAAAGGTAATAAATATAAAAGGCATAACTTATATATTTTATAATAGGATAATAAGGAAATAAGGATTATTAAGAGAAATCCTAATAAATAAAGGATTAATATTTACCTTTAAACTTTAACAATTACTTATTTTTTTTTTACTTACTTTTAACCTTATAAGAGGCCATCTAGCTTTTTAGCTTTTTTATTAGTAACATAAACAAAGAGACCTCTATAGCAGGCTATCATAACAGAAATCAATATCAGATAAGGTTTATCTGCCTCAATAACGCGATTGCTGCCTTAACCAAGCAGTACAAATACCAGCTGCAGGTTTACCTCTCAGCAGCTGGATCAACCTTCATCTTTCAACACACCTAAAGGAATACCACGCCTGATTCAACCATCATACTTCCA